GTTATACCGAGCAATACAAAAAAATACCGAGTTTTATTGCTCGGTATAGCTCGGTATTGGTCTTCACATGATGATATTCCTCGTTATTATCAAATAATACGTAGCAATACTGAGCAAAAACTTAGTTTTTTTGCGGTAGAAGGACGTATCTCTACGTCAGGTGGGAGGACGCAATAAAAATGGGGCATGTATTCTAATTAAATTTTCAAGGAAAAAAAAATTGGTCGGTATTAGATAAAAAACGAAGGGTATGGTTAAGACAAGAAAATAGTAATCATATTTAGTTATTACTTTCTTATTATTATTTTACAAGTTTTTTAAAAAATTCATAATAAAAAACTTATTCTTTACAACCAGAGTAACTAAATTAATTTCTTCACAATAATTTTACAATTAATTTTATAAAAAATTACATCTGTTATAAACAAAATTTAATTTTATTTATTTGATTATTAATATACTATAACTAGTGACGCAAAATTACCAATTGCATTTTAGTACTAAACATTAATTACTAATTGCATGTTTGAGATGACTATATTTTTTTACAAAATTAATAGTAAAATTATTAGGAGGAAAACAACATAATTATTTTGGTTGTAAAAAAAAACTTACCACTATAATTTTTTTTTTAATAATGAAAATAATAAAAAAGCAAGAGTCAAATAAAATTATAAATATAAACAAAAAAACTTTTTCCGGATAGATCCTAATTCTTTTTTTTTTTTTTTTTTTTTTTTTTTTTGATACCTGTATGGCTCAAAAAGTTTAAATATAATACATATATATATATAAGAGTAATTTTTTATAATATTGAAATTCATTTTGGGATGTAATGTTTCACAAATACATTTTGACATGACCAAATTAACCTTTTATGTTTAAATATTAACGATAATGCAATTTTTTAAGCAATAATTATAATAATTAGAATAACATTTAAAGCAAAATCTTTATTATGCCGTCTAATGAATGATCAAACCAGTAGCTTAACACATGATTCAAGGGTTGAATTTGAGTATCTTAAAAAATATTCAAACAATAATTTTCTCTCTAAATATTATGGGGAAACATACAACAATAATACAGAACAGCAATTCCTATCTTTAGCAGTTAACAACAATATGGAAGCAAATCAAGCAGCAAGAAAGGCCAATTTAGTAGCAAATGAACGAAGATTAAAGTTAAAAAAAATCTAACAATAGGGATCGAACATATAATTAACTAGAGCGGAAGTCTTTCTTGTGATCCCCTGCTACCTGTAGCTCAAGCTAACCTCTTCGTTTGCCTGAACAAAACAGAATAAATATTAAATCTCAGAGCCTGAGGGAAAAATAGTAGTATAAGAGAGGAGACATACAGATTTCGCCAGTTCACTAGCTTTCACATCATCAAAGCCAAGGGAAGCCAGTATTTTGTGGCCCGCTGAATCTTTCTCTGACCATATGCCTAGAAGCATATGGGTTGTGGTGATCTCACCACCCTCACCTGCATTTGATTTTCAGGAAGTCGGAAGAAGTGTTACAAACTAAAATGGTGAACAGAGAAAGAGAGAGCCTAAAGATCAATAAGAATGCAGGTCAACTTTATTAGGATATTGGGGCAAAAATATAGAAAAGCATCAATCATTGGTTGTTTCTATAAGTTGTGCTCATATCTGTATTTTCATATATATATTTATTATAACAACAACAATAACATCATGTCTTGATCCCACTACGTGAGGTCGGCTCCTTTTTCTCCATTGTGTCATGTTAAGAGTCAAATTCTCATTTAGAGCTAATAAAGAAAGGTAATTTCTAATATTTTGTAACAAAGTCTTTTTAGATCTACCTCTACCTATAAGCACAACGTCAGTTACAAATAAGAAAGGCATAAGGTCAAACATGGATCAAATTTTGCATAGGAAGCTACTGAGTGTTTACTTAAGTCATAAGAAAGACTCGAAGTTAAGACCTCTGCTCTGAAAACAAGTGAGTATACCGCTTGAGTTAGATCTATTGAACTCAACACAAGCTTCTTTGAGCATACTACTCTGCAGCCATATTCAAAGATCTTTTACTCGATCAGAAACTTAGAGAAATAGGCTTTTAGATACCGTAGTAAGGGGCCTCTCAACTGTAGCACGCAAATGGACAGTCAATTCTCTCATCAGACTGTCACTATGCCTAAACTGATCACCAATTCATCTCTGGAAGTCTAGTTCTAATTTGCCTCTGAGCAGCTTTCTTTTTTAATGCAAGCTTCCTAAATCATACAACTAGTATCAAGTATTTTGTTAAAGTGTAATAATATTCATTAAAACAACATAGATATTCCAAGTATTAAAATTAGGGCACATATTCAATGAATGTGGACAATTAAGCCCAGAAAATCAAAAGCATACTAAATGATGCACTCAGTTCCGTGCATGACAAAGATCCAAATTCTCGTGAACTTACTGCATTCTTGTCATGATATGATGTTTATCTTAGTGGCAAACCATGATACCAGGGACAATGGAAGGCACCATATGAAATAGCCAGGAGCATGCCACTTCTCTTGGATAAGAGCCGATGTTGGTGGAATTATTCTGTGCATATATGGATGTTGTCCGGAGGCAAATCAGAACGCGTCACGTCACACATTTGTTTTGTACCGGGTGACATGGCACATTCTAATTCGCCGTCGGACGGTCTGGTGTCCGCATAGAATAATTTCTCCCGATGTTAATATTTAAAGCTTGTACTTTGATTTGTGCCGGAAGCAAACTGTCTTACACTAATGTTAATTGTCTTATCATTTTGTTTCGAAGCTACATGCTGTTCTCTGCTGTTAATTTTGCCGATCAGAACAGCCTCAGATTCAGTAGTAGAGATGTAGCAGCAGCTACCTCACTAGTTGTATACAGAGAGGAAAAGACAGAGGAAGAAGGATTTCTTCAGCCCTTTTCATTAATACGCTTAGACAGTCTACAGTGACCTAGCTTGTGTATGAGGTAGTGCTAGATAACTTCACATGTGTAAATGTTTGTTAGAGACAAAGAACTAGGATTGACGAAGCGGTTTCATATAAATGGTCCAGATGTTGATAGGACAGCTGGTAGTCCTAGCGGAAGAATTGATTTCGAGGTTGTGCAGCTTTTGCTATTAAATAGCACAAACGATAACAATCATGAAATCTTTCATGCATTTTTCACAATTGGTAGATGATCTAACATCTGTCGTTGTCAGGTCTCAAGTTTTGGATGAGAAAAGTGGAGAGTTGCATTAGATAGTCGACATCCAGTGTAAAACTTGTCGAATAATTATGACATGAACCCCACGTAGTGGGACAAAAGTTGATGTTGTTGTTGTTGTTGTTGTTGGTAGATGAGCTAACAGAGCAAAACAGAAGGGATCATCATTATGATCATGCTAGAGGAAACATCACCCCTCCAAATTTTCACCATATACAGTGCACAAATTGACTATAGATAGGATGAGAAGACTGCTTCAAAGGCTGTAAGTCTATGTGCTTCCTACAAACTCACTTAAAACAAGATGGTAATGAATTATTATTTTGAATTTTAAGGTTTCCAACAAAATTGTCAATTAGTCAATACTTCCCTAAGAATCTCCTCTGTGAAATTTTTCTGTGTTAATATAAGGGAAACTTAGCACATATACAGCAATACAACAACAACAACAACATCAAGCCTTTGTCCCACTACGTGGGGTCGGCTGCATGAATCCTTCTTCTCCATTGTGTCATGTTAAAAGTTAAATTCTCGTTTAAATCTAATAAAGAAAGATCATTTATAATATTTTCTAACAAAGTTTTTTTAGGTCTATCTCTATTTTTTTTAATTTAAGTTAAATCTAATACCTCTACTTTCCTAACCGGGTCATTGGAAGGCCATTGTTTGATGTGATCAAACCATCTAAGGCAACTCCCTCTAATCTTATCTTCCACTGGTGCGACTCCAACCTTTTCACGTATATGCTCATTTCGTATCCTGTCTCTAAGGGTAAATCCACTCATCCACCCAAGCATCCTCATCTCTGCAACACTTAACTTAGTATTAGCAATGATGATTGTAAATACAACAAACAAAAAGGTATAGTATGAATAATATACTTTTGCCAGAATAAATGAAAAAAAAATGGAAGCCATGAACAGTTAGCAATCACTCAGCATACCTGATTTTGTCTTCTCATCAACAGCCCAATCAAGCGCTCTCTGAGCAGGTTCTGTCAGGGGTGGGTGCTCCGGACTAAAAAAATACATATCTGACTTCCCCAGTAACTTGACAGTTTCTTCGCGTACTTTGAATAATGTGATGCCATTTTCACGTAGAAACCTTGCTGCTCTACTAGTCCCTAAAAGAGAGGACAATATCTTAATTTTCATAGCTTATACGAGTTTAATGCATATAGGCAGATCGCTACTGCTTTCTGTAATCGAGCATGTTTGTATAAAGTATCAACAAAAATGAAAGAGTCGTTCGTTCTTAATAATCACCATTATTTGAGTTGCTCCAAATATTAGTGCTTGGTTTCTTGAATTCTACATCTTCATCCATTTTTATTGAGGGCAACATGAGATTTTGGCAAAGAAGTCAATTCATTTAATGCAGCAAACAACCAACCTCTCATAAAAAGCTCACAATTCTAAACACACTCTATGTTGCCGAGCACTTGCTAATAGCTATCCATTAAATTCAAACAAGAAACCTGAACTTTCTACCTACAATAAATCAAACCATATGCGTACACTTCTCATTCAAACTTTATACCTACCATCCAAATTTTTTACCTATTATTCAAACTTTATACCTATCATATCAAACCCATGATGATAAAAAACTAAATTCTAAAAAAATAATTACTTATTTATATGATTAATTTTATTCAACGCTTTGAGAAAAACTCATACTACCTACAACTAAATTTTAACTTCAACTTGGAGAAAAAACTTGAATTCATAGTTTCATCAAAACATACTTATTAAATTATTACATTTGATTTCATTTCATTATTAAGAAGAGAGATTGTTAATCTAGAAAAGTTTTGATTTTCAAATCTCTTTTGATAATTAAAAAACCTAATCAAATTAACTAATTTACTATATTCCTAAATAAATTAACTTGCAGGATTGCATTAATTTTATTCTTAAACTATTGCGCGCCCTAGTTGAGTATATTCCAATCTCAACTAGAAATTTGTTAATCTATCTTTTACAATGGCCTAAATGACTCTTCTAATATCATTAGATGCTGTAAAATTTAAAGTTGATTAAAGTTGATTAATGGTCATTTAAACAACCCAATGAAACACAAGATAAATCAAAACAACCACACATAAAAACACAAAAAAATCAAACTTATTTATTGAAGATGTTCAAGTTACACCATAAATAAAAAAAATGAAGTTAGTGTATAATAGGTTGAGGGATGCATGTCATAGAACTCAAAAAATTCAAGATAAAAAAGGAAGAAAACAAAAAAGAATGAATGAAAACGTAACCATGCAAGATTTTATGTTCAAAATTGCCTTTAATTTTTCATATATTTTGTATTTCTTCCTTCTCCAATCCTCCCTCCAATGCCCATGATAGGAAATACTTGAGTTCACAAGTAATCCAAGAAGAAATACTTGAGTTCGCAAGCAACCCTAACAATAATTGATAAAAACAGCGAAAATAATGTGAAAATCTTGATGAAATCAATCCAAAATGATAGATTGTAATACTGAAATCAAAGCAAAAGCAAACCCAAAGCAAGATACAAGTGATCCTCAATTCGAGAGGAGGATCGATCTCTCCAAATCTCTAGACGATGGATCTAGAGCCCAAAATGCTAAAGAAAAACTCCAAGAGAACCCTAAAAGCATGCATAACCCTAATCCTAAACAAGTCGTACTATTAATACACTAATTCCCTAATTCAAACATCCCTAATTCAAATTTTTTCTCTCACCCTAGCTGCCCAACCCTCTCTCCTCAAATTGCTCCTAGTGGGGCCCACTACTGTGGGCGGCAAGCTGTAAAGGAGCGTCACATGTCCGCCTCCTGTATACCTGAGCCGGCCTTTGGGCCGGCTGGGCCAGTTCAGGATGAACCGGTCTAACAGCTCACATCTCACGTTCTCCAATAACTTTTTTTTCAACTCCCAATATAGCCCTAAAAATTGCCAAATAACTCCCACGCAATTCTGAAACAGCTATAAACTTCCACAAGTCCATGTCATACCACCATGAAGATCGTATAATAGAGCCTAGGCACTCATGCAGTAATTTTTCTCTAGGGTGTAGCATTGCATCACCAGAGGTCAGTGGCTAAGGGTTGTCTACTCTGTCAAAATTTTTGAAAATGGGTGCCTTATTGTTGGATAGTGTGACAATGTTAGACCAGACTGGTCGATCCACACTGGACCAGCCCGTGTCTACACGAGAGTTTCGCCACTTGCTTGTGCCGACCACCCAAACCAGTGATATGTCTTTTTATCCCCTGAATGCCCCCCCATGTTTGTCCCATGAAACTGCTGAAGCAAGCAAGGAATGTAAGAAGAGGTCTTTGGAAGCATAAATTGCCCACAATGAAGCAACTTATATCCCACCATTGAATATTCCAAATGGCTGTCCTTATTTTCTACCAACTCCTCCCTAATTTTCCTCAACCATGTATCATATTCGCTCTCTCTCCTTAGTGCTTCCCAGTCAACCACCAAGGGCACAGATAATGCCATCATCTGTGGTTCCCCCATGCACCTGATAAACCATCTGCTACTTTATTTTCAACTCTAGGTCATACTGAATCTCGAAGTCATAACCCAATAACTTAGAAAGCCACCTTTGATGCTCCTCAGTGTTCATTCTTTTCTCCAACAAGTACTTCAAACTCATTTAGTCGGCTCTAACGACGAAATGTCTTCCCAAGTCTTCCCAATAAATAAGGCCATCATTTCTGAATAGCCAACATGAATGTCATCAGCTCCCTCTCATAGACTGACTTGAGCCTTTCCCTGGACGTCAACACATGACTGAAATAGGCCACTAGTCTTTGATTTCGCGTAAGTACCGCTCCCAACACAAAACTTGAGGCATCTATCTCAACTAGAAATGGTTGGATGAAATCTGGAAGTGCTAATATTGGCACATTGGTCATAGTCTTCTTGAACTCCTCAAAAGCCTGGGTGGCTAACTCTCCCCACTTGAAGTTGTCCTTCTTGAGCTATTTCGTCAACGGCCCCGCTATGGAACCGTATCTTTTCACAAATTTTTAATAGTAGCCTGTGAGTCCCAAGAATCATCTCAATTCCTCTAAAGTCTTGGGTAAGAGCCATCTGAGCACGACCTCAATCTTACTTTAATTAACTGCTACTCCATCCTGAGATATTACGTGCCCTAAATACTTTACTCTGGGTTAGACAAAAGAACACTTTTTCTGATTGGAAACAAAGAGTGCTCTCTTAAGTTGGATGGCACAACTGCTAAATGCTCCCCCTGAAACCTGTTATATACTAGTATATCGTCAAAAAATACCAGCACAAACTTTCACAGGTAGGGCTAGAATACCCTATTCATTAGGGATTGGAAGGTGGTCGGTGCATTAGTGAGGTCAAAAGCATCACCAAAAATTCATAGTGTCCCTCGTGCGTTTGAAAAGCTATCTTGTATGTGTCATATGGTCGCATTTTGATCTGATGGTGTCCGGATTTCAAGTCAATCTTGGAGAATATCATATATCCATGTAACTCATCTAACATTTCATCAATGACTTGCAAGGAAAACTTGTCTAGTACGGTTTCCTTATTCACGGCACGGTGGTCTACACAGAACCTCCAACTTCCATCTTTTTTCTTCATCAATAATACAGGACTAGCAAAAGGGCTTATACTTGGCTTGATAATTCCAACTTCAAGCATCTCCCTAATCACCCTCTCAATCTTATTATTTTGGACTTGAAGGTAGCGGTATGGTTGGACACTAATGGAAGAGACTCCTTCCTTCAGAATGAAAGAGTGCTCATGCTCCCGAGGGGGTGGCAATTCATAGGAAGTTGGAATATCTCCTTGAACTGTTGAAGAAGTGGCTGGACCATGTCTGAAATTTCATCTACATCCTCTATCTCTCCTCCCTCCAAACTCTGGAGCTCCACCAAGAATCCCCTTTCTTCCCCTTGTAGGGTCCAAACCAGGGTTATCAAAAAAACTATGGCTTTGGATAATCTAGGGTCTCCCTTAATTACCACCTTTCAACCCTCCACCAAGATCTCCATAGCTAATGCCTTCCAATTTATCTTGGTTTCCCCCAAGGTTTGCTGCCACTTCATTACCAAAATCAAATAAGTACTCCCAAACTCCAATGGGAAAAAATCTTCCTTGATGTGAATCCCCTGCAGCTCTACCACCAAAACCTGACATATCCCTTTGCCCTTCTCCACCTTTGTTGTGCCCATCATCACTCCAAAACATCTTGTGTCTACCAATTTCAGCCTCAATTTCTCTACCACCTAGTTCGATATGAAATTGTGGGTAGCCCCACTGTCCACCAAGATTTCCACTGTTTATCCTCCTATCTGTCCCCTCACATTCATAAGTGATTCGGGGTGAATCTCACAACAGAATTCAATAAAACTTCAGCCACCTCCAAGTGTATAGGCTCTTTTTCCTCTCCTTCTTCCCTCGTTGCCTCTGCCTCGTCCCCCTACTCATCACACGCCAAGAGAACCTGCAAAGTACAATTTTTGCATCTATGTCCTGGTGTAAATTTTTTGTCACATCTGTAACATAAACCCTCAGCCTCCTATTTGGCATCTCAGCTTCTGTGAGGTGCTTGAAATTGCTTCCCAGGCGAACCCCAATGCTCTTCTCCTTTGGCACTTCCCTCTAAAAATATATCGTCTAGGTTCTCGATGTCAAGATCGTGGAGGTATTCCTATAAATGTCTACCATGTTATTGCTTATGTTAGCCTTTTTCCTCTGATGTTTCTCTTCCACCCTTTCTGCTAGTTTCATCATTTCCCCTAGCCCCCTTTTGGCCACAAAACCCAGAGTTCTGCATGCATGTCTTCCTTCAGGCCCTTCATGAAATTCCCCTTCAACCCTTCCTCAGCAATTCCCCTCAGCCTACACGATAGCATCTATATCCTGGTGTAAATTTCTTATCACATCTATAACATAACCCCTTTGCCCTCCTATCGGATACCTTTGCTTCTATGAGGTGCTTGAAATAACTTCCCAGGTAAACCCCAGTGCTCTTCTCCTTTGGCACTTTCCTCCGAAAAGACACTATCAAGGTCCTCGATGCCAGGATCATGGAGGTATTCCTGTAAGTGCCTCCCATGGTGTTGCTTTTGTTGACCTTTTCCCTATGATGTTT